TACAACCTTGTGCATTTGTACAACCCTTGCAACCCAATTAATTGAGATATTTATAGAAATGATGGGAGTTCATTTATTATGATTTGAATATTTATGGAATATGAATAGAGTTCATTAATTATGATTAATACTTTATATTTGGAAATAATCAAAACTTCTATGAAATCACATATTCATCAAATAAAATGGACGGTTGAGATTGGGTTGTATAGGTTGCACAAATGTCAAAGGTTGTATAATAACCAACCTCTATATATATATGTATATATATATATATATATGTGTATATATATATATATGTATGTACATTGACCGACACCAACACGAACCGTAAGTTCTATCTTTTAGAACTGAAACGAGGGTCGTGGTTTGATACTTCGGTGCCACGGAGATTACCATTGAGACGAACGATAGAGGTGCTAATGGTGACCATTGGCCACCGGTGCCCTACGGGAACCTACCCGAATAATCGAACAACTAGTGGGATTATCTAGTAAACATAACTTAGAGATGAAAGGTACGAAACACTTATCGATTGGTGCCAAACTAGCTACAATATAGAGCACTGTCAACTCTCATTACAGCGTCCACCATCGCCTTTTCTCACAATAGTTTTACTTCTTGACCCAAACTTCACATAAAGCTACAAACTCTCATTTTATACTAAGCCATCAACGATTTCACGAAATATGAAATGATAAGCCATGATTAATGGCTGGAGGTTTCATGTCCTTTAGAGTTCCATGTCACTGAATTACATTAAATTTTAGGGTATAAACCATTCACTTTGATTGTATTTACACTAAAAGTCCTTGAAATTTAACGACTACCAATTCCTTTACTCTTTTTTTTGGTTATTACACCAACTCTTAACAAGTATTCAATAAGAATGATCCGACATCATAACAGGTCTAATTTTGTTGTAGTGTCAGAAGTTCAAAAATATAATTTGTACCATCGTTTATGTTAAAAGTTGATTCATCTTCTATTGAATTTTCAATGTAACAATATATATATATATATATCTTTTTCATTTGGAAAAAATAAGGTTTCTTTTTATTTCTAGAATTTGATCATTAGATGGTTAACATCAACAAGAAGATGCTACACATCAGCACCAGTCCTTTAGAAAGTGACCAATTCTATTTATTTATTGTAATTCACAATCATCACAATCATATTTAAATGGCGGATGGTTTACATGTCTATTCATTATATTTTTAGTCAATTAACAACATCAAATTCTTTGTAATCGATATGGGGACCAGAAGATGCTCATTATTCATCTTACAAAATACCAAATTCCTAACAATCATTAACGTCTTCATTTATGTTTCCATAACTATTCATGATAAATGATACACTATTCATAATGAATGATACACTGATTCATGATGAATAATACACATTAAAGATGAACAATACTTCATTCATGATGCCGGGAAATCATGGGACATGTAACGCACTCTCATTTTTCTCCAATTCACAACCTAAAATTAGTTTGCAACCGAACCCGCCATAGGGATATCAATATGGTTATCAAGTTAAGAGAATAAGATACTCGTTTTTTTATATTATCTGTTTAACTAAAAATAATTTAGATTTCTTTTTAAATTGAGATAAATCTACAAGCTTCCAAAACTTGATCGCTTTACATGGAAATAGCGATATGTGTTTTCAAAAACACTAGCTTCAAAACTTCGCCTGCTATTGTTTACAAAATTTGTAAAATAAAAGTCTATACTATATTATAAAACATTTGACAAAACCTCCTAAAAATCATTTTTTTTATGAATGAATTAATGTTTATTGCTTAAAGTTCAAGATTACAAGTAAATTGTGCGTAAATATAACTTATTAAAG